ATATATATATATATCTCCCCCCAGCCATGAAGAGCAGCGGCCTAAACCCGCAAGTGTAAGAAACACCTAGCTAGTCAAATCACAGTCACCCCACGGGAATCGAAGCATACACCAACGACCCAGCATGCAGCAAGGGCAGTATATCCACACCCACAAGGAGAGATACGAAAGCGCACGCATTCTCCACAACCAAACGAGGGGAGGGGAAATAACCGCTTGCCGCTTTATTATTAACCCCCTAACAATGAAAACACATTGGGGCGAATCCTCCCGAAATCATCCCTGACCTTTGAAACCTCTTCTGAGGGAGAGCTTCGAGGAAAGCAAGAGCATGAGCAAAAGCGGGAGCAATAGCAAGAGCAAGAGCAGGCGCAAGAGACGCAGCAGAAGCAGGAGCAAAAGCCAGCGCGGGAGCAAGAGCCAGAGCAGGAGCAAGACCCCCCAAAAGTCGCAGTAGAGATAATGTGGGGTGCTGGGGGGGCCCGTTTAATTTTGGGGGGAATCGATTAACATGCAATGGGGTACCGGGTAGCGATCATTGGGCGATGGTGCAGGCCGAACCCTGATCCTTTGCTGGCGTGTCCCGGTCTGGTGGGGGTGCCGGGGAAAGGCAAGGAGAGCGTGGAATCTGCGTCAGTCGCTGATCAAAGGCCATGTCGATTGGATCCCAGGGAACTGGTGTCGTTTTGAAATCTTGATATCACCGCGACTGCTAATTCTCATCGGTCCAGGAAGTTCCCTGCAGAGAAATATTGTATTTTGGATAGGGGGGGTAGATGATTTTGTGATCGTGTTTTGGTAAGATCGGTTTTGGTTTGTGTTGTGCTGGTGGTGTGTATGGGCTGCATGGGACGGGCTGGAATTGGCTTATATGCTCTGTGTATTGGCGTGATGTACAGACTCAGTACAGAACAATTTGGGTGGGCCGACGGACATTGTGACTGCGCTGCACATGTATCAACACAAAAACCATAAACCTTAAGACCCGAATGGCCCGAGATGAGTGTGCCGGAAAACCCTAAGCCGCCTAAACCTTAACGCCCTGAACTAACATGTCAGCAGTTGTTTTGTGAGCAGTGACAGAGACTTGTTCACCGTGATTGTTCATTCTAATTCCCAGTTCCACAGTTCCACGGGTGCCTTTCCCACTATACCCCAGTGGTAGCGTTCTAATGAGAAAAAAGGTCCAAAACATATATCATATAAACACAAAGTCAAATTCAAACACATACATAAATCATTTTTTAAAATGTGAACAATATAACAAAAACTGAAAGACAACAAAATTTGAAAAAAAAACACAACTAAAAATACAACCACCAAAAAAGTGATAAATAATACAACCAAAGAAAAATTTAAGAAAAAATGAAACATAAGAACAGCGAAAAAATCAAGCAAGAACACAAAAATAAAATCAGCAAAACAAATAATTTTTGAAAACTAAAAGATAACAACAAACATAACATCCAAAAGAACGTTTAAAACGATAGAATCACCAAACAAATAAAATCAAAAAACAACTTAAAAACACCAACACAACAATAAAATCAAAAAACTTTAAAAACAAATCCACAAAAAAAAGAATCCACAAAAACAACATTTAAACACATAAAATCCACAAAGAAAATAAAATCAGGAAAAAAAATTAAAACATAAAACCCACAAAAAATGAAATACTTGATCCGAAACTTTCAGAAAATAAGATAATTTAATGCCCGCACGTGGTTTTGCTGAATTTAGGTATGGAATTCACTGTTTTTTTGCTAAAGTATAGCGTGCAAGAGACCACCCACAAAATAAAATAAAATATTTTGTTTTCTGAAAGTTTCGAAAAATTGTTTTATTTTTTTGTGGAATTTAGTTTTTATTTTTTACTTTTTAAACTTTATTTTTTGTGGATTGTATTTTTTAAATAAGTTTTCTTTTGGAGTTTATTTGTGTTGTGGATTGTATTGTTTAGAGTTTTTTGGATTTCAATTTTTTGTGGATTTTATTTTTCTAATTGTTTAAGATGTTTTAAGGTTTTTATTTTTTAAAGTTTTTGGATTTTTTGTTGATTTTTGAAGTTTTTTTATTTTGTTTTTGTGATCTTTTCAAAAGTTTTTTAGATTTTATTGTGCTTAATTTTTTTTTGGTTTTATTTTTTGTGTTTTTTCAATTTCTTTTTTTGGATTTTTTTTGTGAATTTTTTGGTGTTTAAATGTTTTTTTGAATTTATTTGTTGTTGATTTTTTGTGTTTTTTTTACTTTATTTTTTCCGTTGGTCTTAGTTTTTCGTTTTTTTTTCAAATTTTTTCACTGGTTTTATTTTTTCAATTTTTTTCGTTGGTTTTATGTGTTCACGTTTTTTATTTTATTGTTTGTGTTGTTTGTTGTGTTTCATGTTTCATTTGTTGGTGCTGTGTTTTTTTGTATTTGTGATTCTTTTCTTTTGTTTTAATCTTCTATTAGATGTTGTGTGTTTTGCTGTTTTTCTGCGTTTTGTTTTTTCATTGTTTTTGTTATTGTTTGTTGCTTGTTTCGTATGTTTTCTATTTTAATTCATGTTTCTGTTCTCTATTATCTAGTTTGTTGCTTTTTTGTTTTTCTTTGGAAAGTTTTATTGTTATAAATTCCAGTGTTTTGTTATGTTTCACTAGTGTTTTTATATATTTGTATATATATATATATTTATATTTATATTTTTGTTTCTTTGTATAGTTTCCTCTTTGTTGAATTATATTTTTCATTTGTTGTATATGCTTTTTATTTGCCCTATTGTTCCTTATATGAATTATCGTTGCATATTGTTTGCAGTTTGCTTGTATGTAAAAAAGAGGATCTCTCCCGATAACTTGGCTGTATTTTTCCTGGAAAGGTAATCTTGAAATGATGCTGCGAATTTTAGCCGCGCACCGTTTTGCACGTCATACAGCAAAACCCGGGCAGGAAACAAAAAAAATAAATTCGCGGACTGAACTTCGGGGCTGGATCCTGGACCGGTGAGAATTAGCAACTGCGACATCGCAAATCGGAGACAGGAATGGGGTGGCTTGGGTGGGAGTGTTTTTTTTTTTTTCTGTTGCTGCTTTTTTGCTGTTAGTGGGGGGGGGGGTGCTGCTTTTTTTGTTGTTGCTACGTTTTTTTTGTGGTTGTTGCTGCGGGGGGTGTGTGTGTGCTTTTTTTTGCTGTTGCTGCCGGATGGGGGGTGTTTCTTTTTGCTGTTGCTGCCATGTTTTTTGTTGTTGCTGTTGCTGCGGTGAAACGGTGTGTGTCTTTTTTGCGACTGTTACTTAAAACATCCACATAAGGACAGGGCCAATCCCAAGAAGAACCCGCCAGCATCCACACCTTGTATCTATCGTCGGGCTCCGGGTTTGGGCCTAGCTTGTGTCCGGCGAGGGGTTAAAAAAGCTTGGAGCCCACTGAAAGAAAATTGGTTGGAGATTCATTCTTTCTGGACGTTTGTGGCTAAAGTGCGCTCAGAAGGGCGTGTTTGGGATTTATTTGCAAGTCATTCCCGTGAAAGCAGACCACTGGATAATCCCTCGTAGCCAAGCAGCCAAGCACGAGAATTACTTAAGGCAAGCTCGTCATAAAGCTATGCTTGCACATCCCCGGCAGTGATATGTCAGGGGCGTGATTTGGACATCCCGACCTTGCACTTCATGTAGAAGGCCGTAAGAGTGTTGCACAACCTGGCAAGGCTCGTCATTATGTCATTCAGAGACTTAGAACCATGCCATAAACTTCGAGTTGCTGGTCTGTTCATCCGAGGCGCTCCCACAAATAATCTGTCAGGTGATGCAGATGTAGGTCTGCCAGAATGGCCTGACGCTTGCCCTTTCTACGGAACCAAGCAGGGAGAAGGTCTGCACTACTGCCTCAATCACTTCGGGAAACTGAAGAAGCTTCAGCCTGGATCCAGTTCAGCCCTGCTGCGCGGCCAAGGCAAAGGAAGTGCGACTGAGGGCTCGAGCGCAAGATCCCTCTCCGACGCATGCTTCACCTGCCAGCTGATCGGCTGATCCTGCCCATGTGATTGAAACACAGTCTCCCTCGGCCTCGAGACATGTTTCAGGGATGCTGGACATCTCAATGCCAGACTTGCGCTGGATGGACTCAGGGGCGCAGCGCTTCTCTGGGACACGGTTCAGCGAGCATTCGCATGGTGCCCAATTCAATGCACACCCAAACTGGCGCCAGAATGCAAGCTGGGATCCCCTGCCAGAATCCTCGCATAGGCATAGAAGAGGAAAACTGCTGAATTGCCCTGGCTGAAAGATTCTTGCATGTAGCATGCTTGGGGATACGCGTCTAGTACTCCCGCTGCATGCTTAATAGTTCAACCCACCGAAACTGAAAATGCCGCAAGCCTTGGCATCGAGCATGCGATCCCAGTTGAAGACATAGTTAGTGGTCCGGTTCCTGCTGTGGCACAGGCTGTGACAAGCACGGGCTCAAAACTCCGACACAGCTCTAAGTGAAAGGCTGCTTCATGTCAAAATAGCGGACGGCAGCCATTCCGATTTTTTCGGCAGCTTCTTGCTGTTCCTGGCGGCGGTGCAACTTGCTGGCAAGATGCACAGGGACACGAGCCCATATCGGGAGGAGAGGCATTTGCCCTGCAACATGTCTTGCTGTTAGCAGCGGCTTGTGTTTTCCGAAGGCCCTTGGAAGCCGACGAGCGAGCCTCGGACCGTCAATGCCACATCCAAAGATTTCTAGGACCACCGTTTCTCCCCATCTGGTGAAGTTTTGTGCGTTTGGGTGTTTGGGGTGTTAGAGATGATGTGCGGTCTTCAAATCTTTCCGGTTGAGTCGCAGCCCATGTTGTTTCAGGATGCCTTCAACTACTGTCAACGTGGCCTGGAGATGCCTGTAGGTGGCTGGGATTTTCGCAACCCTTACGGTCATAAGACCCTTTGCAGGCTACAGCTTGGTCTGCCTCAAAAATTTACCAGACCGGAATCAAGGCATGCTCGCCTGTTTTTTTTGCATTTGCTGTTTGCATTGCTTTTGTTTTCTGTGCGCGTGGTGTTTGCGTTCCTTGTTTCGCGGGAGGCAAGCAAATCACATGCCAAAATTTCTTGGGAGATGGAAAAACAAAAAACCGCCCCGGCCCGGCCCCGGCCTCGGCCTTAAAACGAGGCACATGAATTTACAGCACTACCAATGCGAGACTCTAGCGGTTTTGCGGAGCCTGGACCTCGTGCGACCCCTTAAAGAACAAGAGTGGTTTATCTTGTTGCTCATGCACGCCATTCCCTTGTAAGCCTGGAGTGTTCGCCCTTGTGATCTGATGGCAGTGAGACTGCTCCACAAACCATTGATAACTTGTCAGCAGCATACCGTGTCAGCAGCAAAAATGATCCACATAGCTTGTCCTCTCTCAGCTCTTTGGAAATGGCGAAGAATGCTCATAGAAATGAAGAGGTTCTGCATCTGAGCTATGCCACTCCATAGATTTCGATTTCACTGCGTAAGCCCAAACCTTGGAAAGGAAGGGCTAGAATCACTAGACTTCCAGCGCACTGCCTGTCACTGCATTGAAACGCCGGCCAAACTTCTGCAGCACCCCCTGACAAGCCTATCAGCTCTGCGTGTCCTGCTATTCGCAGGCTATTCGTGTCGAGAAAGGCTTGCAGCAACCACAAAAACAAACATGCATCAGAATGGACTTCCTGTCCAATGGATTTCTTCCTGTGCTTCGCACTGTGTGCACGCTGCTGTCTGCCTGAGCCTGGAGAGCCTTGCTGCAACTACCCTCTATTCTTCACCACTATGACCACAGCATACCACAGTCGTGCAGCCGGCTGTCCTTTGGGCTCGTAAGGAAAGCTTCACCGCCATCCTTGCTCTGATCCTGGACCCTTTGCTGAATCTCCTGCGACGTGCGAAGGCAGGGAGGGTATGCAAAACAGATGAGCAACAGGTCTGGTTTGCTGATGATCCGTGTCCTGGAGGGCACGCTGCACAGCCTGACACGGCATAACACATGCTGTCCTCTGCCAGGTCCTGCTTGCGTACATGGAGTAGCCGCCCGAAGGTAACATTACGTAGCATAAGCCCGGCAACAGCCTCATCCAATAAATCACTGAGTTTCACAGTTTCGCCAGACCTTAGTACGTACATACACGGAAGGACTCAGCCCAAGAAGTGCGAGAGTTTGCATGTACCTTGTCTTGAACTTCTTCTTGTCCTCACCCTGGATCACACCGAAACCTAGGGTCATGTGGGCTACGACAAAGACAAAACGACGCCATGGAAGATAGTCATCACTTTGCTGAGCAAACAACCCATGTGATCGCAACGCGTCAGTGGCGGAGTGTGCCATCCTGCCTTGCTCAGACAAACGTTGACTGCGACATTTGCTGCCAAATCCGTGTAAAAGCCGGCAACACCACAAACAAAAGCAGCAGCCATGGAAACTGAAGTGAGTCAGGCGAGCCTGTTTGGCTGCATCGAAAATCATGTGAAAATGCTGCTCCTGAGTGGGGAACGAAAATTCGGACATGGACATGGAGCCACGTGTGTGGCTGGTGCTTCTGAGAGGTTGGCTTGCCCAAGATCTGTTACGTAAATGACCCTGAGGACAACTGCATTGGGCTTGTCTGTCTTTGCTTCTCAGTTCGGCAATGTAATACACACGAGGTGTTGAAACGGGGCGGGCCACCAGTCGGCCCTCATGACAAAAAGTCGATGGTAGACGGCCGCCAGATCTGTCGAGTCCTAGGTGCAACACCAAGGCTAGCAGGCCGAGCGAAAGCAGACATTTGTCTTGAAAGTTCCGTCCAAAGATGAGGCTGCGGCGTAACCAAAACCCCCGTCAGATTTGACAGCCTGCATCGCGTTGCACGTGCGCCAAGTCCCGCTGCCATCACCATTTTCGAGAGGCAGCGCTCTTTCTGAGGGCACCGGCCATAAGCGGGATCGTGGAGACATTGGGTGTAAAAATGCACATCGCCTGCCATGCTGCTACCAGCTTGGCACATGCCCATGTGAATCGTTCGCAACCAGCTCATCCATCTCATCCAACGGCGCAGCCCAAGGCAAGAACAACTACATCTGCAATGAAGGCGCGCCCCTTCGCTCTCCGTGCAGATTTTCCGTACCTGGACGATTCGGCTTGGACAAGCATCAACGGTCCATGTTTTCCATGCTGATTTTGCTTGATAAGCGCGATGAACATTAACAAACGACAGTCACAGGGATGCTACTCCTGCAGCTCCTCCAATGTTCCAACATCCTGCAACCCTCTTGCCGGCACTTGCGACACAAATCAATCGCAAGTTGCTTGAAGAGACCAAAGGTGTGGCTCCGGAGAGATCGACCAAATTTTTTACACCGGTTTTCATGGCGTCACATTTACCCTTTCCGAACTGCCTCCCGGACATGTCTTCTTGACAAAAGATGTAGTTGTCACGCCCTCCTCCGCGGCCTATCAAGAACGAAAAGCTTGGCTTCACGGAGAGGACTATTCTAGAACTATACACGGAACAAAAAACCGCCCCATCAGACATGCAGTGTTGGTATGGAATATGACATGCCCGCTGGATCAACTATAGCCCTTGGCACTCAGTGCGACATTCAATGCACACATACCACAAAAACGGTTTCTCAGCAGCAGCATCAGCAGGAGCAGGAGCAAGAGCAGGAGCAGTAGCAATCATAGCAATGGAAGAAGAAGTAGTAGTAGTAGTAGCAGTAGTAGTAGCAGTAGTAGTAGTAGTAGTAGTAGTAGTAGTAGTTTAGTAGTAGTAGTAGTAGTAGTAGTAGTCGTCCTGGTGGTGGTGGTGGTGGTGGTAATAGCAAGTGGCAGTACAGCAGCCGTGGGAGAGCAGCAACATTTGCATTGCGAACCTCTCGCGGAGTGCCCAGCATTAGACTCATTAGACGAAAGACAGACTTTGTACGGCGGTTCGAGGCCGCTTCGCACCGTTGGTGAATCCCACGCTACTGAGTAACGCGGAAAACAAGCGAGCTAATCCATGGATTCCAAGTCGAAGCCACTTGCAGTGCGTGTCACCGGTGTTTGGAAAAGCTTGGCACCCTCAAAACGATGCCACTGTTGTCGCTTCTTGCAGCTGGGCTTGTGATCGGCCCCTTGGGTGTTGCGACACAGCGGGCAACAATGTGTATGAGTGCGAGTATGCGCCACAAGACTGCCACAAGATCCACAAGCAAGCCACAGCCATCTGTGATACATTGAGTGACCATCAGCCGCAGACGTCCTCGGCGCAGATTGCCTCGCAGACCGTGCCACCCTGTGGCACAGAAGGAGCCGCAAGTCTCGCGGCCCTCAAGGCAGGTTCGATCGCAACTGACCGTGGCGAACATGGCCGTTTGACTTGGACTAGCGGGTAGCAACGGAATGGTCACGGATTAGTTGGGCGCGGCAACATTGGACTGCAACGCTTTCGCACTGTCTTCGGGCTTTCATCAGCTGTGTACAGTTTCCGCATCAACGCCGTATGGGAAACATTCCAGACTGCAGTGCAGGTCGGGCCTGGTGGCCAGAAACAGCAAAGACTAGGGAGAACAGGAGGATTAATCCCACAGGAAACCAGGCAGACGATCCTGATGCAGTGTGGGTTGCCAGGCGGCATAACGAGGCTCGGGCAAGTGAAACCCCATCTCAGACAGCTGCTCGAGTAACGTGGGGCTCAAAGAGTCTCCGCGGTTGACTGTGTAAGCGGTCAGTGCCACTCTGTCAAAGGCCGCGCAGTTGGACAGTGGACACGCATGGCGTGCAGAACTGCGGTCGAGTGACATATATGCACAGTACTCAGTGCATCGTCGGCAGAGGCGTGCCCATCGAGCTAGACCCCATCGCAAGCATACCCATCCTCCTCTAACAAAGCCTCCCAGTTCTAAGTGCCAGTGAGTACAATCAGTATATGTGGCAAGACATAAACTCGTTCAAAATCGCACATTCAGCGAGGATGCCCTAGAGGTTCTGGGCGGGGAGACCTGTCCAGGCAATCAGCTTTCCGTGCCAACAAAGGCCCACTTGCCGCAGAACCTGCGTTTTGTGCCGCTTACATGCCGTGCGTGCCCCCGACTTTTGTTTGTCGCTCGCTGAGAATATACTGTGTCTTTTGCGGACAGTGGATCTGACTGGCTGCAAGCAACCAACATCTGCGGTTAGTGCACAACCAGGAGCCCAGGAGTGGACATTCGCTCCCGCTGCCATTGCTCGCATCAACAGCTTGCGCTTAGATATAGCTAGTCCGTGTAAGTTCTGCTGGCAGACCGTCAAGGACCCGCGGAAGCATATACAGTGTTGCGCGCCGCTTTTGCAATCCTCTCTGGCCGCCTTTGCTGTGTCATCCCAGGAGCCATCGACAGCCTGCTCAGCTGATGATGGATGTGGACGACCGTGCCACCTTGGCCCAGCGAGAAATTGACCTGGTGGACCCTCACCCGCGGGCGGTCTTGCGCCATGAGGCTGACTTTCAACTATGCAGGGCAGGACACCAGCTTTGTGATTTACGTCGGTATTTCACCGCGACCAGCCGCGGGCCAAGTCACCTACCCAGAGTCACCCGTGTCCTCGTTTCGCCTTACTGGCTGCTGGGGCCTGAGCTAGCTGATGTAGGTGAGTTTTGGCAGCATCTGGCGGCTTCCATGTAACTGGATGCCCAAGCTCCTTTGCTCAGTTATTCTTAAGACCGTTGATCGCAAGGCTCCCTCGATTCTTATGCAGCTCTCTGATTCTACACTGCACTGCAGGCTTGTTCTTTAATCAGCTTGGGATGGCCGTGTATGCTTTCCAAGATCGAGGAAGGGGATGTTTGTTACTTTTCTTTGTATTTCAGGTTCCGGGAACAGCCAGCGTTAACAATGTCCCACAATGCTTAGTCTCTAGGTCTAGTCTAGCAGCGAACTTTGAAGTCCAACCAGCAACAACAACCAAAACCACAACTTCGTTCTTTATGCTGACAGCACTCGGCGGCAACCTCCTTGAAGTGCAGCCTGGTCATAGCACTGGTTTTTGGAAGCTGTGGGACGCTGGCGCAACATCCTTTGGCAGGATCTCCAGCGCGTCTCATATTGTTCTCAATTAAACTCTTTGTGAAAGAGCTTCTGCTCAGTTATTATCCTCTTCCAAGACGATGGCGAGCTAGAAGACTGAGCAATCAGCGCAAAAGTTTTCGACCGTATATGTCGCCATGAATCAGCCTAGTAGTCCCGTCCGTCGGGTAAGGTCGGATGTGTTGGCAGACCTGCGACTGTACACTCTGGACCCCAGTGGCTTTAAGCTAGAGCGGCAGTGTTCTTATTCGAAGCAGCACCGGTGCCTCTAGCTTCCTAGTCTGGCGGACGACGCATGACCGTAGGGTTCGCACTCGTCCGCGGAGTGAAAGGAGCAGGCCTGGCGGATGGCGACACCGCCTGAGCACCAGAATTCCTGAGGGTTGATTTCAGAGCAAGACAGCCTTCCGCTGGCCAGCATTAGCCGTCGTTGCCCCCAGTTCTGGCCAAGGCACAGCCGCCGCAGCCCACCAACGCCCCATACAGGGCTCACAACCACCTCCGCCTCCTCCTGAACCTGACCCTACAATTTACAATGGCGGACATGTGCGGCGACAAGGCACTGCTTGACTGGGCCGTTGCTGTCTATTCTCTTATTTGGAAAACTCACCTGACTGTGGCAACCACCGTCCCAATCCTCAATAGGATGGGATTGAAGATTGGCGAATCTACCGACATGGGGTTGGAAGCTTGCACGCCTTGCTCGGGAATGGCATCCGCGGCGTCTTTTCCAACAGCAGAAAAAACCGATGCTGATTTCCAGGGCTTCTCCAAGTATCGGGCCACGGCCTCCAATGCAGATCCCAAGACACAACTTCAACGGTCGCACATTGAAGACCGGAAGCATCAGCCCCAGGACGTGATGATCATGATGATGATTGATTGGGGAGACTGGGATGATTGGCGCTGGACAAGGGCCACCGGCACGCCTCAATCCGCAGCTGTTGGGGACCCGATTCGTGCACGGGTAGGACACCGTTCCACCCTCATTTTGGCTTCGGGTCCTGGGCAACGCCCGGCTGCAGGCATCTGCCTCATTGCTCGCTTTCTTGCCGATTCTTGCCTGCCATTAACTAAAAACATTTTACTTCACCTGTCAAGCTTCTTCTCTGAGCAAGCAGCCGCGAGACCGAACTAACTGTCAACCTCCGCGACAGAAACGTAAAGCCAAGAGTCTCTGCGCCAAGCCGCACGGTGGACTAGCGATCTGCGCTAGTTGCGGGGAATCCCTACAGCCGATACCACGACTAAGGTGGCTATGGGCGAGGAGGGAAAAATCGTCCTGCAACCTTACAGCCCATCGCTGCTGACTGGGAGTGATGCCACTAGACAGGCATTAGGGAGACGGCTCCTCCGGTGCACCAGTCAGTACCTCGTGAGTGAGCGTTGGACGCATTGGCAAAACGCTGAGGGTGACGGAGGTTGTCTTGCGCTGAGCTTCTCTGTGCGCTTCTTCTCTCACTGTGCATGTGACGAGCTGATGGGAATAGCCGTAGATCGCTTGAAAAAACAACAGTGCCCATGCAAGGCATTGGGCATCTGCTGCCCCAACACGCTGATTCGGCATCACCCGCTTTCAAGGGCACAAGGCTCTACGTTGCTGCTGCTGCTGCTGCTGCTGCTGCTGCTGCTGCTGCTGCTGCTGCTGCTGCTGCTGCTGCTGCCTTTGCTGCTGCCTTTGCTGCAGGTGGTGTCGCTGGTGTCGCTGTTGCTGCTGTTGTCGTCGTCATCGTTGTGGTTGTGGGTGTGGTGTTGCTGTTGATGCTGATGTTGATGTTGATGTTGATGTTGATGCTGTTGCTGTTG